GTTTAATGTATGTACCAAATTTGAACAAAATCCGTCCATGCATAACTGAGATCCGGGTCCGGAATGGTGAAAATGTGCGATTTTGATGCATTTTCGACCTTAAAATGGCTGCTATTCGGCTATCGTTAATCGGATCATGAAAAAAATGCATATGCATATGTCCCATATAATGTGTGATGTATGAGTGAAGTTTCAACTTAATCGGTCCATGCATGTTCGAGATACAGGTGATCACGGACGGACAGACGGACGGACGGACGCACGGATGGACGCACACAGGGCAAAACATAAGTCCCCGTTTTCGGACTGCGTCCGAACGGGGACTAATAAGATCTGATTTTAACCCGAAACTGAGCAGGTCTGTGCATTGTTCTGGAGCATCAATGTACCAAGTTTCATTGAAATGGAATAATTAGTACATGTGATATGAGTGTAAAGCTGAAAATTGGCTAATTATGCAAATTAGGTAAATAATATGCACCAATTTTAACCCAAAACTAATCAGGTCTGTGCAGTGTCCTGGAACATCTATGTACCAAGTTTCATTGAAATGGAATAATTAGTACATGTGATATCAGTGTAAAGCTGAAAATTGGCTAATTATGCAAATTAGGAGATATGCACTGATTTTAACCCAAACTAATCTGGTCTGTGCATTGTACCATAACATCTATGTACTAAAATTCATTGAAATAGGATAATTAGTACTTGCGATATCAGTTTAAAAGCGAAAAATGAGTTGATTAATATGCACACATTTTTACTTAAAATTAATCAGGTCTCTGGTTTGTTCTAGAGCATCTATGTACCAAGTTTCATTAAAAAGTAATGAAGTAATAGTACTTGAAATATCAAAAGCTGAAAATTGATTAATTATGCAAATTAGGTAATTAATATTTCACATATCTGTCTGTGCATCATCCTATGTATCTATGTAAGTTTCATTGAAATGTAATGATTAGTACTTGAGATATCAGTGGAAAAGCCGAAAATTGACTAATCATTATGCAAATTAGGTTAATTATATGCATGGATTTTTACTCAAAACTAATCGCATCTGTGCATTAGTCCAGAGCATCTATGTACCAAGTTTCATCAACATCTAAAGAATGGCTCTTTAGATATCCAGTGGAAAAGTCAAGGAACAGCTAAAAATCAAAGAGAGCTTAGAAAGAACTCCCGTTTGCTGAGAGTATTGAAGACACATTAAAAATGAATTCAAAATTACTTGTACTTGAGATATTGATGAAATAGCTGAAAACAAAATTATATAAAGCAGGTTACTGATATGAACAGTAATCCTAGGTTCATTGAAATGTGATGATGAATACTCTTTGAAAGTTTCATTAAAATCCAATTAGTGGCTTCTTTATATATCAGTGGAACATTCATGGACAAAAATAACTAATTATGCAAATTAGGTAATTAATATGCACAAATATTTACCCCAAAACTAATCAGGTCTCTGCGCAGTCCTTAAGTAACTATGTAACAAGTTTCATTGAAATGTGATGATTACTACTTGAAATATCAAAAGCTGAAAATTAATTAATTATGCAAATTAGGTAATTAATATTGCACAGATTTTTACCCAAAACTAATCAAATCTGCACATTAGTTCAGAGCATCTATGTGCCAAGTTTAATCAAAATTAAATGAGTGTTTTTTTAGATATTAGTGGAACAGCAATCAGCTAATTTTCATGCAAATTAGGTAATTAATATGCATGGATTTTCACCAAAAACCTGATAAAATCTGCGCATTGGCCCAGAGCATCTATGCACCAAGTTTCATCAAAAACCGATGTAAGGTTCTTGAGATACCAGTGGAACAGACACACACACACACACACACACACAGACACACTAACTGCAAAGACTCCCTTATTGTGCTTCGCACACGGGAGTCAATTAGCCAATTATCATGCAAATCAGGTAATCAATATGTATGGATTTCAACGGAAACCTAATCAAATCTGCGCATTAGCCCAGAGCATCAATACACCAAGTTTCATTACAAACCAACATACGGTTCTTGAGATATCAGTGGAACGAACAGACACACACATACACATACACACACACGCAGACATAGTACAGACAGGCTAACTACAAAGACTCCCATTGTGTGCTTTGCACACAGGAGTCAAAATGCTTCCAGGGTTTTATTTTGCACCAATAAATTATCAATGTGTGTGAATTTCAAAAAAGTAGGTTAATTTCTGACGACGCACAACTCACTCAAATGACCTCTGTGGCATGGTGTCTGTGCTATGATTTCTTCTGCCTGAAAACACCAAAAAACAAAACATTTGTCACGTTGCACTAATTTTGGACATTTAAAGCATTGATTGGACTGACTTTTTGACTTGCAGTATTAAAATCCAAAACTATAAAGTATTGGGTCCATTTACTTGCGAAGCGTTGTCTGTAAATGAAATACATACTGGCCGTGTTAATTTCGTTCTCTATTTCCTCTAAGTAGTTTTTTGTACATTGTTTAAAAAGGCATTTTATGTGCGTTTCAGTTTTAATTTTGACAAAATTATGAGCCCAATAATTTTACAAAAGTAATAACTCTTCATTAAACAAACAAACGAATTACTCTACCACATCCTTAAATTGGATAAGCAGATAC